CAGGGCGTTCTTAGTAATACAAAGAAACATTAACTACCAGTTGGTCCCATGGCGGCAAAGGGAAGGTGAACTGATGGTGGGGACTCTTCCTGGGATGTGACTTGTGTTATAAAAGTAGGACTAGATCTGGAGTGGGTGGGGGATAGCTCAGTGGTTAGAGCGCATGCTTAGCATGCACGAGATCCAGGGTTCAATCCCCAGTCCCTCCATTAAAATAACCAACTAAATAAATACACCTAATTACCTCCCCCCAGCCAAGAAAAACAAAAAAGACCCCACAAACAAAATAAATCAAATATTAAAAAAGGCATATCTAGAACGTTAGAAAAAGTTTTTAAAAAAGTAATACGATACAAGAGGCTTGATCGCTAACTAGTTATGGATTGAACTAGTCATTATACCTCCCCGGGCATCTTCATTTATTTAATGAAAGATATGAGGCAAAACCTTTTGTGTTGTTTAAACCTCGTGTACCTACCCAGATCTCTAATAGTGCTTACCAACTCAAGATGATTGCAACATCACAGACTCCTCGCTGAATGAGTTCACCGTGCGAATAACATTTATCCCGTCACAGCGTGTCACCTTCACCGCCAGTGCTTGCAAGCGTATCCCTGGCAGCTGAGTGAAATAAATGTGTGTGTCCGTCAGTGCCTTTATTAGACTGGGGTTCTCTCCCTCCTGATCATCCCAATTTTTAGCAAGAATTTCCTCTCTGCACCCTCCCTATTCCCACGCTCACTGTGAATATTTCATTCATTGAGTCAAAATTAGTTTCTTCCAGGAAAGAGCTTTTGCTTCGTCAGATTCAGTGCCATTAGTATCCTGTGACGTTAATTTGAATACCTCTTCTTTGAATCAAATGCTTTATATGTATATACGTGTGTGTGTGTGTGAGAGAGAAAGAGACAGTGAGAGAGAGAAAGAGAGAAATCTTGTTAAAAATTGTGTTCAAATTGCAGTGACTTCGCCACGTTCCCTGTGACCCTGTCTGTATGTGCATACTCTTCCTATGCCAAATTCCTGACGCTCTCCAGAGATGACACGGTCCACATTCTCCTCATCCATCCCCTGCTTCTGTCTCCCACCACTGCCGATAACGCTGGTGATTTACGGGCTAGGAAAGAGGAAAGAACCTTAATTGCAAAATGGGTTTTTGAGCTTCCTTGACTGACTTCATAACTTACACAGGCAAAAAGCTGCAGCCTCAGTTTTTTGTTTGTTTGTTTTCTATTAGTTTTGAATTGCCCAACTTCAGATAATGCTCTTTTTCAAAGAGGCTTCTTGAGATGACAGGAAGGCTGTGAACCCTGGAGCCAGTGAAGGCGGGGTTGAATCCCAACTC